ACTTTTACTTTATCTTAAGAGAGATCTACTTTCCTGATGTCATGATGTTGCCGATTCTATCTTTGATCACTTGAGGCATTTTCTGAACTTAATATTGTCCCAGTTTTACTGTGTGCACATAAAATGATATGCAGTAATATTGAATTTGAAATTAGTATACTATCATATACTGACAATATTGGAAACTTAAGCTGACTGACTTGAACTCTGCTCAAGTTTCCAGCTTGACAATGGCTAACTAGCGCGAAGTTCTGCATCCATGTTGCTCCAGAAGGAGAAACCGCGCGGATATACGTGCATCTGTCATTTTTACAGACAGTTCCAATTTCCGTCTATTTGCATGGATGGGTCATGCTATTGCCCAATGATTACATTCGGTTGTAATTGTCTGTTACAATACAATGCCAGGTGATGTTTCTTCAGTGACCAAACTGAAACGTTCCACGACTCATTTTCACTCTCAAGACAGTCTGACGAAGTCGCCGTAAGAAGCAACAAGTTTTGATAGCCTGAGATCAGTCAGATCAACAAAATAAAAAACCTGATTTATCATTCCAACAGATATCATCAAAGTTTTTGCGTCATTGTCGACACGTACAACAATTTTTGGACAATATAGTTTCACTTTTCAAACCCTGGCGCTGTGAAGTTATGAAAACAAATCAGAAGACACTGCCATTCTTATTATAAGCTGTTCTCGTACGTTGATAATCAAGTAGCATTGGTAACAACCCTCTTGCTCAATTCACAGAGTATCATCATATCATGATGCAAATGTTTTAGAACTAGTTTAATCTGCTGCACCGTGCGTGAGGGTCTCCATCCATCATCCATTCTATTCAGAACTCTGATTGGCTAAAAGTTTAACACAGAGGATATAGCACAAGTTATATAGCTAAGATAATTCTAATAAAATGTTGAACTATATGTCTTTTTCATTTAGAATGAACTTGATTATCATTACTACTAGCTATTTCATTACGGTACTTTTCCTTTTGAGTTTGGGCTACTGAATAATGTGCTTAAGTTGTTAGACTTCGCGTAAATTGGCTGTAACATGAAAGTTCAGAGTTTATTCCACCGTGCTGTCTAAAATCTATTTCAATATTGTGGCTTTTCTCAAATGAGTATGCTTGAATTCAGATGTCATATGGAAATAAAATAACACTTTAAGCACAATAATCGGGCAAATCTCGAATTTAGCGATATGCAAAATATAGGCATCACGTTGTTAATGCTCTGATCGGAGGAAGATATTATTTTTAATTATACGATTCAGACTACTAACCACAAAAATCGCTTGAATAATAGAAACTATCGATCTGATCCGTTGGGGACAATTTTAATTGCTGTTCTGTGCATAAGAAAATACTGCTTTGTTTATTGTTGGTGTGATGGTAGCGAGGTTGAATAGCCAGCTTTGAATTCCAGAAATTCCGTGTTCGATTCCGATATAGGTATATCTTTGTCTTATCCACGAATTTCCATGAGTGATGAATTTTCTCCACATTGCTTTCCGCTCAAGCAGCCGAAAAACGGAGACTAAGTCGATAACTTGCGACTAATAAAGACAGGTGGTATTTTGGCCACATCATGCCAGAGTGAAGAATTTGTAAAGCCATTTGGTTCGGTTGACTGCACTTCATCTTACCTGTTGGCTGATTCTCCAGTGTAATAATATGCATAAAGTGCAGCGTAGATTTAGGTTTTTTTCAATTTCAAGATGTAT